TGTAACATTTCGCATACGTCCGTGTTGTTTTGATGCGACGATTTGTATTTCTTCTTACGTCAAACTACTGAGATAAGCCGATCATTGAACCACCGGATTTATGCACATTTCTCGCACATTGCTCATGTGTTTTAGTTTTAATATCGAAAGTGCTTGGATTTTTCAATCAGTTTGGGCGCAGTGAAATTACGAAATGAACGTTCAACGAGTCTCACATTTCAAAGATCAATTCTTACAACTTGAAATGCATATTTTTAGTTGTTTCATGGCTAAATAGATTTACCAGAAGAATTTGAAGCCCTATATTCTTAGAGTTATTTTTAAGGACATTAAACTGCAGTCTGTCTCTGATATATTCACGCTGGATCATATGCTGAAAAGTCAAGATACCTAATAGATTCGGAGTGATCAGAATAGCCGTGCACATTGAGTTAGTAAGTAAACATTTAAATAAATTACTGAATGACTCCAAGTTGCTTTCTAAGTTGGAGTTGGAGTTTTTGAAGTGCTACAAATTTTGTCGTCAAAACCCAAGGTTCGAGAAGTTAATTGGTCATACAAAAAAATTAAGAGCATTACAATGGACGATGAGGTTAGGCATACATAAGTTTTACAAACGGTTATCGACGTAGGGATGTAGGGAACTAAAAATTATCTCTGTATTGCGAGTCACGTTTCATGAGTTCAATCAATACGTGTGCATAGTTAACCCGACACTGTGCGGTGAATTGTTACACCAGTGTGAACTAGTAAACACTGCGGCGCAAATCATTTGGAAATCGTGTGACCAAATTGCATATCCTAGAAGCTGACACATTATAATCTGAAACATTTCAATAGAGTTTACTAACTGTGAATAGCCTCTGATTTTGTTGGCAAAACTATAGGCTATGCACTTTCATACCCAGTTGGGGTCAAATTCCGGCGACCCGGAAGATGCTGTATCGGGGACTAAATACATATATAGAAGGTAGTATTTTTTATTGACTAAAAACTAACCACTCAATCAAAGTCCAAGCCCAAAACAACACAAGCCGGCTTCAAATAGGTTGCATGTTGCAAATATCGGATTTGCAGTCCACTGGGACAGTCATTTTTCAACGATTGAACTCAGAAACTCAAGAGCAAAAAATCAAACGGAGTTCCCTCTGATCCAAACGATCTGATCAAACGAGAACGGCCATCAAATGACAAACGTGTATGATTGAATTCAACGGTAAGATTATGAGCATCACGTGACTGAATGGTAAATTACAAGTGATTCGCTCAACACTACGTGTCGTCGCAGTGGACAATTGTGATAGGAAAAGAAGAACAGCACAATTCGCCTTCCATTGGCCGTTTTATTGTCCAAACAAGCTCGAATCGCTTGATGCGCATAAGTAGGTGATTATCAAAATAATAAATAAAGAACGCAACGGTCTACCGCCTTTTTCGTAAATCAGGGAATGTGTTTATCCTGTGCCTCCGATTAAATCGTAAACCATGATCTGCTACTAAAGCTGAATAGATAAAGCGAGGTGGTAGTAGACTTAGAAAACCGTCACAAAGTCAACATTAATCTGGAAGAAAAATGTTAACTAGTTACTTCATTTACCGGAGGTCGAATTTCACAAGCTGTGGGTTGGGGAATTCAGTCTGAACTGTACGACTTGTTGTGGCTTGTCAATAGATCTTTTTAAGCCCTGTTGGCATTGTTCACCGATAGATATTTTGGTGGAAAGGATGAACCCCATAATTGCAGGAACATTCTGCTCAGTATTGGAAACCGAGACTCAATAACCGACCTCATTTTGTTGGTATTATAACGGCCACGGTGAAGCTGCATAGTATCAAGTCCATAGAAGAAAACGCACAAGGGCACAAACCTTTCATCATTGAGGCTTCCACCGAATCCGGATCAAGCAGCAATCCCTGTGGGCGTTGACCACTCGGGGCGGATTTGCGAGCCTTGGAACAGTTAGCCATGATTAGTGGATTGACGCGCAGCCCAATTTGACGCCAGTCCAGGAACACATGAATCTGTGCGAGTAGAGTGAGCTCCAGTCGACTCAGCGCCTGATCCAGTTTGTGCCGAGTCTGTTCAGTTAGCATGGATTTGAGTGAGATTTCCGCCGAGTTGCTATCAGCTTTTGAGGTAGTGAAGTATTTCAACGGGGACAGATCTATATGCTACATCCAACAAAATTAAAACCGAATTGAAGAGATTTTAGCGGAACCGCGTACTACAAAAAAATGTCGTGATTAGTATATGACAGTTTCCCGACTGTAGACACAACTAGCAGCTGAAAATCATCGATCAGTAGCTTAGAGTTCTTCGTAAATTGAACCAAGCTCGACTTGGGACGTTTGGTGTCCGAGGATTCCTGATGCGCCTGTATGTATATAATAGGTCATTATTACACATTTTCGCAAACATACGTACGCACTGAATATTTCGGAAGTCGGATTATTGAAGAGTGCATCGAATAGTGAGAGGAGGGCGTCTAAACAAGGTACTGTTTAGTGAGCCCTCTCAGGGTGTATGGAGTGTCCGGTATGAGTAAGACCATTGATGAAACTGGACACTAAATCTTGGTCAACGGTGCTCATCAGTTATTCGTGCTATATCGAAAACGACCCAAAACTGCTCTCATTGAAAGATGAAGAATCATCTGAAAACCACTTATCAATCGAGTGAACCCCTGAGTGAGTTATTGTAATCATAAAAATAGAAATGCTTTGGTGTTTTTAGATGTGTCCTACTCGATAAAAGTGACATAACAACATACATAGAGTGAACCCAACAGTTTTATCAGTGTGGTCAATATGGCAGTATCCCTGCAATGTTAACTGGGTAATTTAACAGTTTCGCCTACTTTTAATTCTGTTCTGTATCCCATTCCACCCACCCCCTGTTATTGTTATTATTTTTTTGGTGTTTGCACCATGCTTGTCCGTAAGCGGGTTTTGAATACACACACACATACACACACACACACATATATATATATAAATATATATATATATGTATATTTAAATGCGATGGAAATGTTTGTGATAACCAACAAAGAGCACT